GAGAGGCTGTGGCTGCCCCCTCCCTGGCAGTGTTCAAGGTCAGGCTGGATGGGGCTTGGAGCAACCTGGTCTGGTGGAAGGTGTCCCTACCCATGGCAGCGGGGTTGGAACGAGATGATCTTTAAGGTAGGTCCCTTCCAACCCAAACCATTCTGTGATTATTTGTATTGTTTGCTATGACAGAGAGGGCTTATGTCGTTTCCAGTGCAGGAACAAAAATGAGTTAAGGCAAGACAGGAGCAAACATACCAAGTGAAATCCAGGTTCACTTCTTGCCAGTTACATCTTGTGTTGCCTTACCTGGAGTTCTGCAACAGCAAACCTAAATTCTCACAGAAGAAATGAATCCTCCAACCAAACTGAAGAGGTTGATACCAGTACATTCTGAGCATTAGAGTTTATATCACCATCTACTACCAATTTACACTCCCTATGTTCCATAGAGATATAGGAGAAAATGAAATCCCTAGATCCCACAGGGTAACAGACAAACATTAATTTGATTGCATGTTTTTAAACTGCTCTTACTTAAACAATGAGTTTTAAAATAACACCCAGCTAAAACTGTGTGAGAGGGGGGAAAGTAGCTTGCTGTTTCTGTAGTGACATAGAATAGAGTAAAAAGTACTAATGTGGAAAAAGGCAGACAGAAATTTCACTCAGACATCTGCTTTTGAAGCTGTGCTAGCAGCCTCTGAGTCCTCAGAAAGTCATGAAGGAGCTTGGAAGTAGCATATATCTCTAATTCTGGTAGTACAAATCAGAGTAAAGTTTACAGGGAACTGAACTGATTGTCTAGTTTGTTGTCTGCTCCTCTCTTTCCTTGTCCCTCCTCCCATCCGTTGCCTCTCGTGACAGCTCAATGAACTTTCCAGCAGAAAATTATCCCCCTTTTTGCTGGTCTATTTTTCTGCTGGATTAATGTCTTCAGCTGCCTCACAGAGGAGTGCAGCAAATACCAGAACGAGAGACAGGGCATGTGGCTGGGAGTAGGAGGGAGGAGAGTAAAGCTCTCGGACTGAGTGAGGTTGAAGTTAACTGTTTGAACAGATCTAATGCTTTCTGGCACTTTAGTCAATGTGCTTTTATTGCAATGGCAAAAGTTCCAGATGCTTAAATTAACAGATTACGTCCTAGTGACACAACTAAAATGTAGGTACATTTTTCAAAGATACATTGTTAGTTCTGTCTTGTCAGAAACAAAGTTAATTCTTTTTAATTCCAGTTAAAATGGAAGTCTTCTGTATCCTTCAGGAGAACCCTCAAATTTCATGTTCATTGGACTTTCTGCTTGGTTTGTTGTGCCATCCAGTCCTTCTAAGTCTCTATTCCTTGTTATCCAAAAAGTCCTTCCTTGTGCAAACACTTGTTACATTTTTTGTTCCAGAAAGCATGGGAAAAAAGGCAGTTTTTCAGTTCTAAGAGCCGTACAATGTTGTCATTAGACAAAACTTACGTACTTGGATACCTTTCTCTTCATCCAGCCTCCGTACAACAGAGACAGCAGCAGCATGGTCATGATTTGTTTTGTTTCTTCATCCCTTTCTGATTTCTAGCATTCTTTTAATTTTTTTAATCTCTGCTGAGTGCCTAATATGATCCAACATGCTCTTGCACAGTGGTAAACAAAGCCAGAGCCTCCAACTGAATGTGTGTGTAAAGCTGAGTCACTGCTGAAGTTCTGAATGGTAACAAAAGGCATGTGAAGTCAGCATAGACAAGTGTAAAATGAAACATAGAATCCCCATAGAATCACAGAATGGTTTAGATTGAGAGGGACCTTAAAGATCATCTCGTTCCAACCCCCCTGCCAAGGGCAGGGACACCTCCCACCAGACCAGGTTGCTCCAAGCCCCATCCAGCCTGGCCTTGAACACTGCCAGGGAGGGGGCAGCCACAGCTTCCCTGGGCAGCCTGTGTCAGTGCCTCACCACCCTCACGGTGAAGAATTTCTTCCTTACATCTAATCTAAATCTCCCCTCTTTCATGTGAAGGAATTAAGTGGTGCGGAGCAGTACTAGCTTAGCGCTGCCAGCAAACTGCTGCCGTGCTGTCAATCCTCCTTTCCAGGTTATTTTAAATGTATTGAACAGTGCAGGGGCCCATGGACAGATGCTGCCACAGTGAAAACTGGCCTTTTATCTTCTAATTTTTAACCATTAGTTGTCCTGTGACAGTTTTTTTAGTTACTTTAAAAATTTTCTGATAAGGAACCAGGATAATGCCGTGGTGTTCCCAGTAGCTAAGGTTTGAGGCATGTCTTATGTTTTTAGGAAACCCTCTGGAAAGCATGTTGGTAGGTATTGGTGAATTAAATACTCCACTCTTAGTTACTGACCCCTTGCAAACACTTTAACACTTTTCGTTTATTTTCAGCTATGCACTGTGCCCAAAAGAAGGAAACATAATTTTACAAAAAATTACACTGTTCATTTTTGCAGTCTATCCTCTGTAATGTAAAATTCTTTAATTTTCAACACCTAATTGAAAATATTTCAAGAGGCTGCTTTTTCAAAACAGTTCAACATTCAACAGTTCCTGTTGAAGTGTCTTCCAGATTACCCATTCAAGTTTTGTTTTTTCAATTCTTTAATGCTTTGAATTAGAGGAAGTATCTAGACAAACTGTAATCAGCTAAAGGACTCCATTCAGTATTACTTCTTCCTTTGTTAGGTTGGATAAGTGTTGTGGTTGACATCAGCTTTTCTTCAAAATTCTTCTTCTCAGACCATATAAGCAACACGTAGGCTAGAAATAGAGTGTCAGAGGAGAAACATCTCCCACACTGGGATTTCTGTAATAAATAGAATGCATTTGGTGTACGTTAAACACAACTGTATTGTCACTAGCTCTGTTTTGCCCTTTTGATATATGGGGAAGGCAAATTACTACTTAACACTCCAGCAAATGCTGAATTATCCAGATCTAACACTCAGAGGGTATAATGGATTTCTCTGCTATTAAATCATAATATATATTACTCTTACTTAAGATTTTAGATGCCATAAATAAGGACTGTGGGATACCACTGAATCAGTTACAAGTAGACGGAGGAATGACCAATAACAAAGTCCTCATGCAACTCCAAGCAGACATTCTCTGTATTCCAGTAGGTAAGATGAAGTTACAACTCCTGTTTTCTTTTTAAAGCTGGAAACAGCATTGATTTCTAATGGCAAATGCGGGCAAATTGGATGACTTGCTTTGTTGTTGTTGCTGGTCTTTTGCTACTGCTTGAGAGTGTTCGGCGTTTCTCAGAAAACGTTTTTAGATCTTGCATCCAGTTTTGAGTTGCACTTTCATAGAGAATCACTGAATTATTTCTTGTGTTGAAATATTACAGTACTATGATGATATCGAACTTTAAAGTTTTCATATCAATTTGCAAACATCTAAAAAATTTAAAATCAGTGAAATTAATACTCTCCTGCAACATGTTTGCCCTGAGAATCTTGCTCAGAGATAAATCAGAACTTTGCACCTCCGCTGCTCATGTTTTACTCTTGCATTTCAGCAAATAAGAAATACCCTTTTTTTTCTGTTCCCTTTGCCTGCACAAACCTTTGGTTTCATTTACAGTGTAAACAAAGACACACAAAACACAGTGTCCATTCTGTTTCCTCCCACAGCAGCAACGAAAAAGGGAATAGAGGTTACACCAAAAGTGGGAATCCTGCAACCAGTTTTCTTGGCACCCACAGCAGCAACGAAAAAGGGAATAGAGGTGACACCAGAAGTGGGAATCCTGCAACCAGTTTTCTTGGCGTGCATTATGTGAAATACAAACCCCAATGGGGTTGTTCCTCTGTGAGGCAAATGAAAGTTTAGAATACTGTTATTCTGATTCGAAAGCAATGCAGCCGTTTTAGAAATGGTCATGTAACTTTTCTTTCACAGAAGCCCCCTAGAATAATAAAAAGGAGTTTTTTAGCTTTTGAAGGATGTATTTCGATACACTAAAGCTCTTTAAAGACCTCACTTGAAACCTGGAGCATTTCAGCATCAGTGAAAAGGGTGCATCTTTCTGAAGACAAATTTAACACCTGTAGCAGATCCCAAGTTGCTGAGTATTGTAAGCTATACATTAGCATTCTTAAGGATGCAGCGTGTCACTGAGTAACATCAGGATGCTATACATCTTCATCTATACTGAAGACTGATAATTTGCTGCATAAACATAATAATCTTGCCTAATACACAGCTTCTAGTAAATCATTTAGAATAACATCATGTGGTCTTTTATGCATAGATGTGAGACACCGGTGGAAAGTTTTTAACTCTAGAGTTTTTATAGCTTGCCTTTAATAATACACAATACACAGGGCTCATACTGTGAGTGCAGATACATAGTTAGCAGATGAAATTATATGATCAATAAAATCAGATTTTAAAGGATCCTCTGCCTGAAGCAAAAAAGCAGACAGTTCCAGAGTTAATTGACATCTTGGGGGTGGGATGGTCTTCTGTGGAGGGCGAATAAGCTGGTAAGTGCAGGTGTGTAGCCTCTTTTAAGATGCCTTTTTGAAATACTGTGTTATTAAAAGCATTTGTATCTAGAGCATGTGAACAAGACTGGTAGCTTAGCCAGTGATCACTGCTTTGAGGAGGGAGGGAGAAGACCAGAAAAAAAAAGTATATTAAAAGTATATTAACAGGAGTTCTCTAAGGAAACTGACAGCTGAGGTCAGCAGCCCTGCATGTGGTGTGAAAATGGGCAATTGCATCATTCAGTCTTGAAGGAAGTAGTGATCTGAGGTATCTCAAAGACTTGGATGACTCTTAGGTGAAGGTAGCCTTGTAACCATGTGAATGGCAATGAAATGAGGTTTGCAGTTGTAAACTTAAAGGAAACATATAGTAGGTGTAGAAAATACATGCCATTCTAGGTATATATGTAAATCTTTCGTTCTGATGTCATCAAGGTGACTGTCATTAAAAATCATCATGGCCTTCTCTGTGATTTACTTCAGTAAAGCCATCAATGCCTGAAACAACAGCTCTGGGAGCTGCTATGGCAGCAGGAGCTGCAGAAGGAGTTGGAATTTGGAGTCTGAATCCTGGAGATTTGACAGCAGTGACATGTGAACGATTTGAACCACAGATCAACCCGGAGGGTAAAACCCTTTCGTATTATCTAAGAAGTTGCAAACTTAATACTTTGTGTCCAACAGATTGGGTTATTTCTTTGTTGCAGTCTAACATACTGATATAAAACCAGCTATATAAGAATATCCTGACAAATGTTGAAGATCAACTTTGTAGTGTTTGGTTTAGAGAAAAGTGTGTTTTCACTTGCTGTTTTGTCCATTTATTGACAGGTAAAATTGGAAAATGGTTAAAACAGCATAACTCCACAGGGGAATGTGGTGGGCGTTTTTTTTTTTTCTTCTTTTTGAAAGAAGCTTGGCACTGGGCATTGCAGTTAGTAGCTTTTGATTTATAGCAAGTAAAACCAAAGACATCTTAAAGTTTTTACTGAGAAGGATGCCTCCTAGAGCTCCTGTGCGCTTGTGAGTTTTCACAGGCGTAGAAAGGACAGACTGACTGTTTTGGGGACACTTTTGGCTTTAAAAAGACTGTATTAATCATTGTTTTGTAGCTAACTTTCTTTCTCATCCATTCTTAAGTGCTTCTAGAGATGGAAAGCATGTACTTGACATAATTAATACATGTGCAAGACAAATGCATTCTTGTCTTTTCAATTATTTCTTAATTTTTGGTACAGAATTTTATCTTACCTTTTTGATTATAATTATTACTATAAATACTACTTCAAGACGGTATTTTCAACACTGAAGAGCTTCTACATGAATAACAATTGCCTCATTTTTGTCCTACTTGTAAATCTTCTTGTTGGTGAACATGCAGAGAATGGTTTTTAAGGTTTATTTCTCTTTACTGTGCATAACTGTGGGGTTTGAGGTTGTTTTAGTTTGGTTTGTGGTTTTTGTAATTCAAACCCACATTTTATAATAGTTGTTCTGTGCAGTCAAGCTATACTGTACAAAAGAGTGGAAAGCTAATATTGTGGTCTTTGCTTCTTAAATAGTTGTATTCATATGCATTGAGAGGCTTTTCTGTTGGCTGATTTTTCGATTTCAGAAAGTGAATTTCGCTATGCCAGATGGAAAAAAGCTGTGATGAAATCTATGGGCTGGGAGACATCTGAAGCTGCTTCAAACGGTAAATCAGAAATTAATGCAGGTCAAGTATTAATTAGTCAGTTAGCCTAGGGAGTTAATCTTGAGTTTGACCTTTTCTGGTCATACCATCTCTGGACTATTCCGATCAATGATTTAAAAAATAGTCCTTAAAACCACTGTGGAAACAAAGCAGGAAAAATAGACAGACAGGCCTTCCTCTTGAAAGGGGGGCGCAAGCAGTATCTTGGAGGGCTCTGAAAAAAAAAAAAAAAAGGCATGAAATCAAGACTAACTGCAAGTTTTGCAGGATAGCATTGGTTTATAAAAGAAAAAAATCTTACCTAGAAGAAGAGATGCAGCACAATTCTCAGACAATGCAGGGGTTTCATAAACTTTCTTATAGTATAACCTCATGTTTCAAGGGAGAAAATTTTCATCCTGTGATTTCTCTTGCTAGAACTTCCTTTATTATTTGCTGTATAGGAAGGAAGGATTGATAGCCATGTCAACATCTGTTTGACCCCCAAGGGCTAAGAGCAAGAAGTTATCATAAAGTGAAGAATTGCATAGAGCTACTGTTCACACACAGAGAATATACAGACACTTTTGAGGGACTGAACAAGAGCTTTCTTTTGAAGTAGAGGGCTTTTTCCATCTATCAGGTTTGAATTAAATAAAACCTGCAGTCTTCTATGATCTGTAATTTGGATTGATATTTCAGCACTATTTCAGGATAAATTTTTAGTCGTGAATCATCCTACAACACATAATGTATGGACTTTTTCTTCATTCTATTTCCCTTTTGTTGGAAAAACTATTAGAATGAAAATTACTAAGGAACAAATCCTCAAAATGTAAACTCCTGCCACAATCAACAGTTGCAACCCTCAAGCTGCATAAAGTCTCCTACTTTGTTCTTGAGAGTTAAAGCTAAAATTTTCCTTTTACCATCCTATATGTTGGCTTAAGTATTTTGTTTAACACTGGTTATACGAGCAATTCCGTCAAGGCTATTTGGAAGGGAAATAGGTGTCTTAGCATGAGTAACAAGATTCACTTCAGTATTGTCCATCATGATTCAGTAGCTGCACGTCTAAATTCTGTGTTCTGTATCCTAAAATCCCAAGTGCTTGATGCGTGTCTTACTTGTGTATCTTTATTTCCTTTTGAGGGATAGGAAATACTGCCTTGCAGAAAATAAAACTAGATCTTGTTCTTCAGCCCATGTGAAAAGGGATATGTTTATCAAAACTTACCCTCAGTGATTATCTGGTTTGACACTGGGGGGTAAATGTTATTCTTCTTAGTTCTTGCTTTGAAACTTTGTCTCCTGCCTGCTATAGGAGTGTTTAAGGTTGAAGAATACTAGAAATGGCCTCAACCTAGATAGTGCTAACAGTGGACTTTGGATTTGAACTCTTATATTGAGAGCCTGTTTTGAATTATTGTGGGGGTTATGCATAATCTTTTTTAGTTTTTCTGCAAATGTCACTACATTTGTTACTTTTTGCTGTTCATATGATTTTTAACACATACATTGCAATTTATATATATATTTCTCTTTTGATTTGCTTGACTGGAAACACCCTCCCCTGGATGACATCAGGTGACACTAGTATCTTCTGTAGTCTGCCCTTGGGTTTTTTTATTATGAGTAGCATGATAATGTTAATCGGAGCAAAGTACGTCTCAGGTTAGTTATTATTTGAACTAGATCACTTTAAAAGCTACCTACAGTAGTTTGTGTTTGGGTTTTTTGTATTCCATTTATTTTTAGCAAAAACGACTGATGCTTTTTGTTGTTCATGCACACGGGTGTTTGAGGGTGTGAATTAGACTTATGGTACCTAAGGGAACCGAGTGAATGTCCTCTTGAATTCATTCTCATGTGCCATGAAATTCTGAGTTGTTAGATGCACATGAAACCTTGAACTCTCCCCTCCCTCCGACTAGCTGTGCAGGCTGTACACCGATCATGAAAGGGATCTAGGCTGGAGCAGCCCAGCAGAGTTTTGCATTGCTGCATTACAGTGTGCACTGCGGTTAGAAGAAGGTGCCACCCTTTATCCTGTATTTCTGCTCCTAACGATTAAAATTATTTTGAGGATCTTGTTTGAATAAAATGAAGACTTTTCTTCTGTCCTTGAAAGGCTTTGTGCACCCCTTTCATTTTTCTGGTCCCCTTGGAGCTATTGTCTGGTTAGAAATCTTCATCTACTAAATCTGTAGAATATCCTTTTTGTACATGGATCTTGATGGATAAGTGAATTCATTTTGTGTAAAGAGAACAGACCCCCAAGAAGCCTGTCTGCAAAACTGGGGAAAGGGACTTGTGTGCATAGGCAATGAAGATGCATCTTCAACCCGTTAATGTATGTTTTATTTTAAAAGAAAGTTCTTAATATGGGTGACGGTGTTAGTTACTTATGCCAGAAGTAAGACATTTCATTAAGATATTCTTATGGTAAGAAAAAGAAGTTTGATGTCATTTGTTTCTTGTTGTTGTGTTTCAAAATTTCATTCCAAAGAAAATATTTTACAGTATAGCATTGTTGCTGCTTAGTAAGCTTTTTGGGGGTGGTTGTTTAGTTTTCTTTCTTTGTTTTGGTTTTGGCGGGATGGGCGGGGAGCATTAATTAAACAGACAATTGAGGACTCTAGCATGCTGCCGTGATGATGTGTTTGTATTTTGTTTCTACTCATTCAGCCTGAATTAACTATTCAATTGTAATTTTCCTTGCATGGAAGAGACTGGCTGAGCTTTTAGGAGAACTAAAATCAAACTAAACAAATGCTAGGCAAAAATCAAACCAAACAAATGGATTGTCCTTGATTTACTAACTCTGGAATGTATCTGTGAATGAGAACAGTCTTGATTATGAAGAATAAAATAAAACCAGCGGTGAATAAGTGGGTAAATTTTTAACAAGCTGAACTAAGCGACTTGAACATTAATTCCAGGTCAAGTTCTTTACCACAAGGAGGATACCTAAAATAATATGAAGATCAATGTTACGTGGGCAGATAAGCAAATTCTGAGTTTATTGCTTTTTAAAAACAACTAATCAGTAACCTGCATATAAATATCTAAACTTGCTGGAACTGATAAAACTGCTGGAACTCATGAAAAAAATTACTTTTTTTCTCCCATCCCTAAGCTTGTCAGTGCCTTTCTGACCCACGAGTGGAAAACACATTCGTCTCTACTCACTTTGGCCTTGTTTTCAGACAACGGTAACTATTGATATAGTTGCTGTTACTATATATATATATAGTTACTATATATACCAATGTTGTTACTTTATATACTAATATATTAATATATTATTTACATGGTAAGCTTGGGGACAGGAGAAGTTGCAAGAAATTTCCAGCTCTTGCTTGTTTTAAAAAACTATGATGTCTAAAAAGGAATAATGAATAGTGATGATATGCACAGGTTATAGTTTTGCTCAGCTGTGCGTAGGGTAGCGCATGATATATAGAATTTGTGTTGCTGATTGGAGCAGGGCTGCTTCCCCCTCAGACATGTGCTCCAGTAAATATCCTTTTGCTTTTAAAATCTGGAACTAGCTGACCAGACTTTCCTTCTAATTCAGTACAGGAACTCCATTAATTAATTTGTTACATTTTATCTTTTAATGAAACACTGGAACTCCTACGCAGTCATCAATATAATAGGTTTGAGGATTGAATCTACTGAGGATTGAATTCATCCTTCATGTGCTGAAACAGCAGTAAGTCTTGCATGGCAACAGTGCTGTTGTTGAACATGTCTCTGTAAGGCAGGGCCATGATTTTACAGCTACTGAAATGCGAAGGAAAAATCTGCTGTGACAGAACAGAGAACACTTAACGTGGCAAAACCCCGTTTACAGAACTGCTAAACTGACTGCCTTTTCATGCAGCACCTGATGACTGAATATGAAGAACAATGCTGTATTTCTTGATCTCATTTCATAATTTCGTCAAAATGAGGTCAATTACTTGTACCTTATTTTATGATCTTCATTCTTCTCTGCCTGGGAGAAAGGGCCAGTATTTTGGTTTATTTCACTGTTAAAGCAGGTTGTATGTAGCAACTGGTGTCCTTATGCTAAGATTCTGTTAAGTTTTTCACACCAGTTTTGGAAGTGGACATCTGAGAGATTTCATCACATTCCATAGCTTTACTTTTTGAGAGGGTGGGAGTTCACTGAAAGTGCTATTTTATTCTACTCAAATTTGAAGAAATGCCTTTGCATGCTTAAATTGGCACACCTCGGGTGAGGTAAAAGGGGGGATTAGCTATGTATGGGATCGTATGTGACATTTGGGGTATAAAGTTCTTTGACTTTATTCTCACAGAATAAGGTGTCAGTGCTGATAGTAATACTATATTCTTCCTGCTTAAATATCCTTTGCAGGTTTTTTTAAGTCTGTTTTTCCTTTTTGGTTCCTTGTGTTGTGACAGTTACTGCCAAATTCCATACTAATTTACATATAGGGATCACTGTGCAGTTCTGCAAGTTAGTTGCAATAATATTTCCCAAATTTCTGAAAGCTGAACTCGTATTCAGAAAAAAAAAAACCAGCTTAGAGTGCCTTCCTTCGGTTCTTCTACTTGTTAAAAATTTACCCATCTTAATAGTGTGGTCTCTGCTACTATAGGCACATCCCACACGCTTAAGTGCTGGCTTATGTGGTGTCACAAGATACACCTAATTACATTAATTGAAAACAAAAGATGGTTATACTGATTTCCTGTTATAGCTCGGCTGTGCTATAGAGTGTTATTAATGTTTTAGAGCAAAGTCTTCGTTACTAATGCACATTCTTTCTTGTTTAAGGTACTGGTAAATGACACTACTTAGTGGACTCTCTGGATGCAGCTGATTTGTTTTGTTTCATTTTGTTTTGTTGTCTGAAGAGATTCCACCACCAATGTGATTATACTACTTGTGTGACCGAATCCATTCATGAATCCGTCTGTTGCCAGTCCTTGGGTAACCTCCCAGTGGTACACTGAAACTTAGGTCATCAGCCCTTCATTACTCTGCTCCCTTCCCCATCAACCCCGACTGCACTGGAGGCCTTTGCGTGGACTATCTATATCTATCTCACATCATCCTCTAAAATTTCACAAGCCCTAGCTTTGTTTGAGAAAGTTGGCGTAACAAAACCCTGCAACTTCTGAGGTACTGTCAGATGTTTAGCTATCACTTTTCAGGGTTTTTGGTACTTTATACAATACACTGTAGAAAGTTAGTGATGCACTGTAGAGCTTTGTAGGCGTCTTACGATTCTTCCAGCTGCCGTGAATTACCTTTCATATGTCTGTCATTGCCAAAGATGTTTTATTGTAGTGGCCACTGGTCTGAAACACCGTCAATGGTACAAACCTTTTGAACACTAGCTCAAGATGTATTATCGGTAGCCTACATCACCACCAGTTTGGCAACGAAGAGGTTGCTGATGTGGTCCATAGAGTACTGTTGAAACGACCAATTACAAAGTTTAGAATTTTGGGTTGACTTCTGGTGTGCGTAGTCAGTTTGCCCATTAAAAGTATTTAAGACACTTAGTCCTGTAGCGATACCTTTAAAGAGACAGGAGTAAATAGGTGGTTTGGTTAATGCCATGTTTCATGTTCTTGTGCTTTTGTATTAGTGTGGAAAGGCAAATTTGATACAGCATGCTATTGACAGGACAGCTTCGTGGTCCTCAGCAACTCTGATAACTCTTAAAACTACTCTGTAGAATGCACTTTTCTTAACCAATACTACATAAATCCTGTCACCCTCCTTAAGGGTATTTTAGTGACTATTTGTTAAACTTTTGAAAGTTGAAGCTAACTTAGCTTTCCTTAAAGAGGGTCTGCTCCAAATCAAATATCAGTGCTTTAGTTCTTGATCTCATTTAGGGTATCTCAGGGACCAAAATCTCCCTTTCAGTTTCCATGGCCATAATTTTAACAGAAAGTTGTTGCAAAACACGCTGGGACAGCCCAAAACCCTGGCTTGGAAGAGTAAACACTTTGGCACCTGGAACAGGCCACTGGAATTGACAGGCAATGTGAGTGACAACTGAGTTGTGTCATCTTTGAAACTTTTTGTCCTCCACAGGTAAAGGAGCAAGGCAATAATCGTATCTTCAGCTTTCCTGTTTGCACCAAGAGCATGGCAAATGCCAGCCTTACTGGTTAGGTCAGAGAAAATGTGTTCTTGTGTAGCGTCGTTAGATCAGCGTAGAGGGATAGCGAGGTTAAATGTGGGAACAACATGGAGAATTTCGAAGATGTGTTTAAATGCACTAGGAGTTAAAGGGAGCGGGTTTTTTTGTATAAAGATTTTTTTCTTTAAAAAAAGTCTTCAGCAAAGTTTTTGTTTTTCTTTGTTAAACTATGATTAGAAGCTTAATTTTTAAAAAGTGTTAAATATGTGTTTGTCTGAAGCAGTGGATTGCACAGAAGTTCAAGTCTGTACAATATATTTAATATTAAATGTATATTAATTGCCTTTTTATTATCAAGTGCAATGACCTTTGAAAATGTGACTTTTAATTAAGAAGTTAGGATGAAAAATGTTCCTTCTCTGTGGTTGCATGTGTAAATTCAGCAGGGGAGATTTTTGTGCCCGGGTGAAAATAGAGCAACATGACTCAAATCCTGTATCTCCTATAAATACTGAAATGTGAGGTGCAACAACTAAAATTTCTGGGGTTTCTGGTTTATATCGGAGAGGTGAAGAGTGCAAAATGGACATGAACCCCTAAAAAAATCTTTATACTCCTTAGCTTTACAAGGACCTGTTGCCAATCCCACCTTACCCCAAGGAATAGGAGTAACAGCAGCCTTTGGAGCACGCAGGGCAAGGGCAGCGCACGCCTCAGGCACTGGACTCCTGAGTATGTCTTCTTGCCAAAAACACTGAAGTACTGAGCCTGGGAACAAGTAACATTGGAGTGTTGCCTTTGCCAGCGACGTATGCAGCGGGGGGGAAGGGTAGCACGTAACAAGTAGGAGGGGGAATTTTTGCTGCTTTTCTGACTTATCTTTTACTGGGAAACACAACTCCTATTACTTTTCACTGAGTAAAAATCATGATTTTATTTTCAATTGCTGTTGCAAATATTTTTAAAGAATTTCACACCACTGTTAACTTTCTACCAACATAGTTGAAATACATTGTAAACTACGTGTTGGGGGGAGGGGACAAACTGTGGAAAGTTAGCTTTTTGTGAAGCTGTGATTTATTTTTTCTATAAATTACCAGATTTATAAATTCTTACTTGAGAAATGCATTAACTTGGTATTAAAATGCCATAAATAAATCGATGGAAGCTGTCAGTTTGTTCTTGCGCGTTATCTTTCAGACACATTTTCATTAATGGTTTTTACAGGAGGCGTTGGTACACGCTGGTGCGTGTTGAACACCAGGGCACTCTGGGCAGGTGACCCCCACCCCTGCTCTGGCTTGCTCGGACACACGGCTCAAATACGCGCGGTACCGCGCTCTGCTTTCCAGTGATACATTCAATTTCAAGGACGAGATTAGAAATTCCATTTCCTCAAGTCACTCCATATTTGGGGAAAAAAGCAGGAAACACAACTAAAACGACGGGAAGGAACACAGTTGTGACACAGTTCGATCCCAAGGGCTCGGACAGCATTGCTCGGAGGGGCTGATACGCCAAACGGGTTTTGCTCTTACCCCGTGGTCTGGAAATCGCCGCAGATTAAAAAGCCACTATGAGCTGGGGGAGGAAATGTCCATCAAACACAGAAAGCTTGGCTGGAGGCACTAGCCAGGGGCGCGAGGTATTTCTGTTATTTTAAGAAAGCAGCGTGGGGGTAGGTGTATATGCAGAGGGTGCATGTACAGAGTGTGCCTGCCAGATTCTTGTCTGTTCTGTCTCCGTGGAGCTCCCAGTTGTATTCTGTGCACCCAGTGCTGCACCAAGGATATAGCCTTCATCCGTAGCCTTAAACAAAATCTCCAGTTCTCTGTATTGAAACTGGTTGTGACAGTCAGAAACAAACCAACAACAACAAAAAAAGGCATTTAAATACTGTGTCAGCACAGAAATCGTAGGTAACGTGTTATTACTCAATATCAGACTCCTCCCTCTGCTTGTGAGAGCCTAGTGTCTTCCCTTCACGTGGCAAAATTAACAGCCTTGCCCTTAGCTGCGCTGCACGAGAGCACACTCAAAGTTCATGACTCATCAAGCTGGAGTATTATGAGATGAGAACTTTGTTAATGTAATTAGTACCAGAAATTTATATGTATAAAGAATTTTTGTTCAACAAAAGCTAATACAAGTCTAATCTATTATTTGAACTCTATCCAAACAAGCTGTAATCTCTCCAGCTGAAGAATCCTAGATCTGTAGCTATTGGCATCCTCTCCCAGTACGAGCTGTAGCACAGGGCCCATATGATTTTTTTTCTTATTATTATAATCAACTGGCATTCATGGAGGTAGTACCCATCAGTCCTGGAGATAAGGGCAGGCAAATGAGCAGGAGCCCTTTAAAGCTCAAAAATGGCACAGGAACATTACTGGAATGATTTTCCTCTGCTGTCCAGAGGGACATCGGCAGGCTGGAGAAATGGGTTGATGGGAACCTAGTGAAGTTCAGCCAGGGGAAGTGCCAAGTCCTGCCTCTAGGAGGAACAACCCTAGGCACTGGGACATGCTGGGGGCCAGCCCACTGACTGGGAAGCAGCTTTGCAGAGAAGGTCCTGGTGGACACCGAGTTGAACGTGAGGCAGCAATTGCAACAAAGGTGGCCAACAGCACCCAGGGCTGCATCAGGCAGAGCAGCACCAGCAGGTCAAGGGAGGTGATCCTTCCTCTCTGTCAGCCCCAGTGAGGCACATCTGCAGTGCTGGGTCCAGCTCTGGGCTCGCCAGCGTGAGAGACATGGACATACCAGAGTGAGTCCTGTGATAGGCCATGAAGATAGTTAAAACGTTCGGGCATCTCTCATAGGGGAGAATCAAAGAGGTCTGGGACTGCTCAGCTTGCAGAAAGCTCAGGTGCAAATCCCTGATGTGGGGAGTAAAGGCCATGGACCCAGATCTTTCTCAGTGGTGCCCGGTGACAAGAGGAGAGGAAACTGGGCACAGGCTCAGACACAGGAAATTCCGTTCAAACAAAAGAAAACATTTTTTTTTACCCTGAGGGTGGTCACACAGGAGCAGGTTGCTCAGAAAGGTTGTGGAGCCTCCATCCTTCAAGATACTCTAAACCTGATGGGACATGGTCCTCGTCTCAGAGCTGACCCTGCTCTGAGCAGGGGTTTGGACCAGCCAATCAGAGGTGCCCTTCTGCCTCAGCCGGTCTGTGATTCTGTGATGAGGGCAGGCACAGCTTGTCCCCAGCACAGGCTGAAGGCTTGAGCCAGCTGATAACGAAGGCCAGGGAAAATGAAATGCTAGTTTATTTGGATAAAACCAGTTCTCTTTGTATGAAGCAGTTTTAACCCACTGTTTATTTCAAAATTATTCAACTGGAGTTATTACTATGTTATCCTATGTATGTATTTGTTTTGGAAGAGTCAGCCCTAATGTGTGGGCTTATTATCTTACTTGTTTTAGTTTTGAGAGATAATCATTTAAGCAGTTGCAGTGAGAGTTTAAGCAGGATGACTGTTTTTCAGACTGCCAATTGCTTTAGTCTAATACCCAGTTTTTCACAGGGAATTGTACAACCAGATGATACAAAGCAGCCCAAATCTCAAGCATGGGATAACATTCTTCCACAGTTAAATTGTAGTTAGCAAAACCTAAAAATATGGGATCCTTAAATTTTTATGATGGGAAGACATCAGCTTTGGAGTCGCTTCCTTTTGCCTGTGGTGGTTTTTCTTTAAATCCATGGGCTGGGGGTTCTTCTCTGACTATCCTTGAAGGCACATTCTCTTCAGGTGGAAGGATCTGCTGCTTCACTACTTTTTATTTCCGCAGGGCTAGAGCA